TACCTGTCGGTATCACGGCTGTGGAGGATTCCGCACGACCAGATCCAGCTCAACCAGGGGGCTCTCATCCACCCAAACCCCCAGCTCCTGCAGTTAGCCGTGTGGCACGTGAGTGGGCTATTCTGACCGGCCTTCACTATTCGAGTCAAGTGATTGACACTATCCAGGCGGCCCGATGTCCATCCACTACACGTATATACGAGGCCACCTGGCAGGCCTTCTGTAGGTGGTGCCGCCGAGCCGGGGCTGACCCCATCAAGGCTTCGGTACCTCAAGTCTTGGACTTTTTACAATCGGGACTTAATAAGGGCCTCGCGCCCAACACGCTCCATCGGCAGGTCACAGCATTATCCATGGTGGTTGGAGGCGGTCAGGGCCATTCCTTGTCTCAGCACTCACGGGTCAAGGCCTTCCTGAAGGGTGCGACAAATTTGAGGCCTCCGACAATCCACCGTTATCCTACCTGGGACTTGACCTTGGTGCTTAGAGCACTCACGTCTGCTCCATTCGAGCCCATCCAATCCATCAGCCTTCAGCTACTGACGCTTAAGACTGTGTTCCTGGTGGCCTTTACATTGGCCAGGAGGGTTTCGGAGTTGGCTGCGCTATCTGTTCGTGCCGACCTCTGCATATTCCATCCTAACAGAGTAGTACTCCGTTTGGACCCTTCCTTCCTCCCGAAGGTCAACACGTTGTTTCACAGAGCTCAGGAGCTCATCCTTCCAGACTTTTGTCCACATCCTCCCCATCCTCAGGAGCGCCAGTGGCATCATTTGGATGTTCATAGAACCCTCTGACGTTATGTAAAGCGCACGGCCTCGTTCAGAAGATCGGAGGCGCTATTTGTTTCCTTCCAGCCGTCGTCCATGGGACAGAAAGTGTCCTTCCACACCATCGGCCAATGGTTGAAGGCGTGCATCGCTTTGGCGTATGACAGTCACTCCCGGCTGGTTCCCAGATGTATTACTCCTCATTCTACCAGAAGTGCGGCTACCATGGCACAAGCCTCGGTGGAAGAGATCTGCAGGGTGGCTACTTGGTCGTTGCCCTCGCCATTTATTAGACACTACAAGGTTGACGTATACGCCTCGGCTGAGGCCTCCTTTGGGTGGAGAGTGTTGCAAAGGGTTCTTTCTTCTGCGGAGGATCCTGACCAGCCTAGCTCCCGCCCTGGGACTTAATTGCTTTGGCATGTCCCATGCTTGNCAGAGGAAATGCGCCTTCACCAAGACATTACCAAATTGATGGCGGGCTTGGAATTCTCTGCGGATGCCACTCTTAGTGCAGCAAAATTCGCTTCTTGGGCTGTAGTCTCTAACGTAGCATCCCCACGCCTGCTGTGGCAAGCTGATGTCAAGTCCAAATGGCACCTTGCATCCACGCCCTTCAAGGGCGGGGCCTTGTTTGGGTCGGTTCTCGACCCCATCCTCATTGAGACCAGAGATAAGTGTAAGGTTCTCCCTTCCACCAGTGGCCTGGCCAATAGGAGACAGCAACCTTATCAGAGACGACAGCCCTTTCGGGCCGGGGACTCTGGATTCGCCCCTGCTCCCTATGTTCCCCATTACAACAGGGTTTCTCCCAGTTCCAGGATCGCGGCCAGGACCACGCAGGCGCCATGGATAGGGCGCCAGCAGCTCCAGGCGCAGCCCCAGGCAAGGAGGTCCTTTCGTGGAGCTGGAAACCGGTCCTTTCGGAGGTACCGGTGACTCACAAGGGGACGGACCCATCGGAGGGCGTCTCCTGGCCTTCGCTCATCAGTGGGCGGAGTTCACGTCTGACGTCTCACTCTAGAATTTCTCTCCATTCCCCCAAGGTGGTTCATCCAGTGTCCTGTTCCCAGATGCCCGACAAAAGGCGCCTCATGGACGCCGAGATACATCACCTTCTCACCATCAGGGCGGTAGAACAGGTACCGAAAGGCCAGGAAGGGCTAGGGTTCTACTCCATCTTGTTTCTGGTGCCCAAGAATTCAGGGGGATGGCGGGCCATCCTAGATTTGAAAAGGCTCAATCGATACATCAAATGCCAAAAATTCAAAATGCAATCACTCAAAAGCATATTGGCCTCCATCCGCCAGGGCGACATGATGACATCAGTAGACATCAAGGAGGCGTACCGCCATGTGCCCATACACCCGACTTTTTACAATCGGGACTTAATAAGGGCCTCGCGCCCAACACGCTTCGTCGGCAGGTCACAGCATTATCCATGGTAGTTGGAGGCGGTCAGAGCCGTTCCTTGTCCCAGCACTCACGGGTCAAGGCCTTCCTGAAGGGTGCGACAAATTTGAGGCCTCCGACAATCCACCGTTATCCTACCTGGGACTTGACCTTGGTGCTCAGAGCACTCACGTCTACTCCATTCGAGCCCATCCAATCCATCAGCCTTCGGCTACTGATGCTTAAGACTGTGTTCCTGGTGGCCATTACATCAGCCAGGAGGGTTTCGGAGTTGGCTGTGCTATCTGTTCGTGCTGACCTCTGCATATTCCATCCTAACAGAGTAGTACTCCATTTGGACCCTTCCTCCCGAAGGTCAACACTTTGTTTCACAGAGCTCAGGAGCTCATCCTTCCAGACTTTTGTCCGCATCCTTCCCATCCTCAGGAGCGCCAGTGGCATCATTTGGATGTTCATAGAACTCTCCGACGTTATGTAAAGCGCACGGCCTCGTTCAGAAGATCGGAGGCGCTATTTGTTTCCTTCCAGCCGTTGTCCATGGGACAGAAAGTGTCCTTCCACACTATTGGCCGATGGTTGAAGGCGTGCATCGCTTTGGCGTACGACAGTCACTCCCGGCCAGTTCCCAGACGTATTACTCCTCATTCTACCAGAGGTGCGGCTACCACAGCGGCCTGGGCTACACAAGCCTCGATGGAAGAGATCTGCAGGGTGGCTACTTGGTCATTGCCCTTGCCATTTATTAGACACTACAAGGTTGATGTACACGCCTCGGCTGAGGCCTCCTTTGGGTGGAGAGTGTTGCAAAGGGTTCTTTCTTCTGCGGGGGATCCTGACCAGCCTAGCTCCCGCCCTGGGACTTAATTGCTTTGGCATGTCCCATGCTTGGATTCCCNTTTTTTTTTAATAAAATTCTTGCCTAGAAAGTAAATCTAAGTCAATTGGTAGCAGTAAAGATCTTAGGGAATCACTAGCAAAAGAGACAGAACTTCAAATTATTTTAATCTTTGGTATACTGAATAAAACTACTGCTATGTCTGCTGATTCTCAGGACTAGATTTCTGGATTCAGCAGAAATGTCTCTGAATGTGATTCCATGGTTCTTAAAATCAGGATTATAGTTTGGGGTTCCTACCCTTAATCAGCCATAAACGATGAGGACTTTTTAAAACTTCGCCTATAAATCAGTTGCATCATTACATGGAGGGGAAAAAATCAATTTATGTTGACTCATATGTTGGCAACTTCAAAATCAAATTATTACAGTGTGCTTTGTCTGCGGCTTTCCTTAAAGATGGTCCAGAAATTGTAGCCAAATCACAATGTAGCAGAACCTCCCAAAGGTCTGGCATAACCTCCATGTGGAAATAATTTTTCTAGTTGTTGGTGGCTTTGTGGTTTCAGTACAAGGGGATCACAATGATCTTGGTTTATGACAAGTTTAGTTGAGGATTGCTTCCTCTGACAGAGTATGCCCCACGCTTTGAGGTCACTGCTGAAACACTATTGGTGAGGTTTTGCCTAGATTCATTAGACAGCTGTGATTGACCCTACTTTTCCTATGAGTGAAGTTGTACGAGGGAAGAAGCCACTGACACTGAGGTAAAAGCAAATCCCTCCTTTTTATTTTATTTTATTTAGTTAGTTAGCTTGTCAGTCTTGTACAAGATAACAAGAATAAGAATAAACATGAATAAGAATACAGGAAATGGGTACAAATAAATAGGGAAAATAGGACAGGGACATTAGACATGTGCCTTCTTAGATTATTACAGACCTCTTAGAAATCCTTTTTAACTTTTGTAATATGTGGTTTTTTTAATGTTGTACACCGCCCTGAGTCCTTTGGGAGAAGGGCAGCATATAAATCCAATAAACAAACAAACAAATGGGGTGAGGTCAATAGTAGACAGTCTTAAGATTGAAGATGTAACAACGGAAATCAGGTAGTGCATTCCAGGCATTGATCATTCTGTTGCTGAAGTTGTATTTTCTGCAATTGAGCTTGGTGTGGTTTACCTTGAGTTTGTATCTATTGTGTGCTCATGTATTATTGCAGTTGAAGCTGAAGTAGTTGCTGACAGGTAGGACATTGTAGCAGATAATTTTGTGTACTGAGCTTAGGTCAGACCGTAGGCGGCATAGTTCTAGGTTGTCCAAGCCCAAAATTTCAGATCTCACAGATTAGGCCTCCTCCGAGTGCCATCTGCCAGCCAGTGCCGGCTGGCAACTACGCGGAGGAGAGCCTTTTCAGTAGCAGCTCCGACCCTCTGGAACGATCTCCCCATGGAGATTCGTACCCTCACCACCCTTCAGACCTTCCACACAGCCCTCAAGATCTGGCTATCCCGTCAGGCCTGGGGGTAAAGAGTATAATCCGCCCCCACCCGAATGTTGAATGAATGTTGCTCGATTTTAATTATACATTGTGTTATATGTCATTGTATGTTCCCCCTCCCATATAAGTTGTTAGCCGCCCTGAGTCCCCTCAGGGAAAAGGGCGGCCTATAAATAAACTTATTCAATTCAATTCAATTCAATTCAACCCTGGTGGTATATAAGGTAAAATCCCTGCTTTTGAAGTGAGGGCTTAAGGCAAACCTATTTGGCACAGCATTTTAATTGTAATTTTGCTGCTTTTATTGTATTTCTGGAAGCAGCCCTGGACCATGTTAGGAACAGGCAGCATACAAATACTCTAAATAAGTAAAAACAAATGTCAAGGTTAGAACAGTGCTTATCTATGGTACTACTTCATTGTGAACTCTGTAATTAACTACATATTGCTATTTACATGTTTTTCTCTTGGTTTCACAGGTTTGGTTTAAGCTCATGCCCAATATGTTTGGGCGATCCTAGAGATCCAGTAAACCTTCCTTGTGATCACGTATATTGTTATGATTGTATCAAACAATGGCTGGGGCCAGGACAGATGAGTTGCCCACTTTGCTTGGTCGATCTACCAGATGATTACAATCCCACAGTGTCTGAAAAGCACAGGTGAGCCTTGTTCTTCTTATCCAGCAGATAGTTTTTTCTGAGGACTTTCAATTCCTGCATTGGCTCTGCATTTCTTGGTAGTTTACTAGAGAAATAATAACTTACATTTTCTCCACAGCATTGCCATAAAGAAAAATGCCCAGTTCCGTAAATTATGCAACAGTTTTTTTGTAGACCTGGTTTCTACAATGTGTTTCAAAGGCAATGATCCTCCAGAGAAATCTGTGATTGTAGAACTATTGAAGCTGATGTTTGTCAACAAATCAGTTTTGAGAGGTATGATCATAAACATCTATTGAGATTGCTCTAACCTAAAGGGAGTGATGGTACTGTATCTCCAAACTGATTTGCATTATATCCTTAGGCATTGGATGCTTATATACCAAATCTTTGTCCCCCTTTGATGATGTGGTGGATAAAACTCCTGTAATCCGTTCTGCAGTGTTAAAATTGCTTCTGAAATACAGGTAAGATTTTCAACTGGGATACATAAATTGGGGCAGAACATTCTACTTCAGAGTGAACATCTCTGTTGCATGAACTATTTTCCTTGTAGGCATCATTATGGTTCAGACATCACTTTTTAAAACTTAATTGATTCTTCTCCCCACTCCATGTTGTAGAACTGTAGAAATGCATCCTTATGACCCTGCGTGCATCTTTGTTATTTTGTGAATATTATTAAAAATAATTTTAAAAATCCCTACATTATTTGTGGATAAATGGAGGTTTCTCTTTTCATAGCTTCAGCAATGTGAAAGTCCATGTACAAAAGCATTTATCAGAAGTGGAAGCAAATCACATGATAGACAAGGAAGATAAAATAGAGCTGTACATGCTATTCATCAGTTGCTTTGAGGTAACGTGCCCCCCTCCCCAGATTTCTGTTAGAGGGAAACATGGCCAGTGGGACAGCAGGTTGATGAGGAAGAGTAATATATTTGCATGAAAAAAGTCTGTGTTGTTCTCCTTAAAGGAAAAGGAAAAGGAAAGGGAGAAAAATTGTTCCTAAAGAATCTGTAGTTGTCCCATTTCTGCTATGTTTTATGGCTCCGGTACACTTTGGTTTTCTCAAAAAAAAAAAGTACATTGTGTTTAGGTCAAACTGTTGTTATGCTATTGTATCAGAATAGTGGAGATTCACAACCCCAAAGTTCAACTGTCATCATATTAAAGCATACAGAAAGGAAACTAGTATTCCAGCTTAAGAGTCAGCATTGTCCCTTGGCTTTATAGGTGCTTTAGGGGAGTGAGTAGGTTTTAGATCTAGTAGATTTACCAATTCCAATCTGCCCAAGCATGCCTCAAGCTTTATACTTGTAACTTAGGTACAATCAAGATTTTTGCACTTACAGTATAATCAAAGTTTATGGGAGAAACTGTGTGTGCAGTCAGAACTGGAATGGGCTTAATTTAAAGATTTCTTATGTGATAATTCCAGATGAAAGTAGAACTTTCAGAAAAAGAAGGGCTACAGGGAGACCTAGTATTAAGAACTAACATACATACATTACATACATATATCATTTTACTTGTTAAAATCAGGAACATGGTGAAAATATCTACTTAGTAAAATCAGTGAAGTATGTACATTTGCAATGATATATTCTACAACATTATTTAAGTTGATATTAATACAAGTTGACACGGCATAGTCTATGAAAAACTTTTACAGTTCTAGATTCAGCAACTGGTAACTTAGTAAATGTAAATAAATTGGAAAATGAGAAGGAATGACTAAAGACATTGATTCCTTTTGTGTTTTAAATTTTCAGTCATTTCCAATTGAATTTCTTTGTAAAAGTCAGTTAAGAACCCAAGCTGACAACAATGCAGCAGATTCTATTCCCTGCATCCAAAGAGTACACCAAATTATTTATTTTGTTGAAAATGTTCTAGGGATGGCATATTTAATCTGGAAGCTTTAACTAGTATAAAAAAATGTGGAAAATAATTGGAAAAGAACAAATTGCAAAATATTGTCTTTATTTTCAGGATTCATTGTGTGAGAAAACAGGAAATTTTCCCAAAGAAACCAAAATACATTGCTTGGCAAAGGATGTGCATTTTCTGAGGGAAAACATTCATCTGTACAACAGCAGCCATCCAGTCTCCCAAAAAATTACCATTGAGTATTTGCAGGGAATTGCCAGCCTACGTCTATGCTTGGATAGAGCTGCAGAGGTGATCTTTGAACTCCATGAAACTTCAGGCAAGTGGATTATGAAAAAAGAACAACACCCTGTTTCTGTAGCTGCTTACGTGAGAAGATACCCTTTTCTTGTAAATATAGAGCTTTGCAAGAAAATTCTTTTTGCAAGATAGGTTGTCCCATCTTCTTAGAACTGCTGTGGTATGGCTGTGAATTAAATACCAACTTCTCTTCTTTCTGCAGCCAGTAGTGAAGAAAAAGAAAAGAAAATCCAATTGGAAAATGTGAGGCAGTTCTTCCATCTTACTCAAAATAACTGGCATAACATTTACCTTGTGCGAACGCTTACTAGCCAGTACGGTTTGGAATTCACACAGAAGCTTTTGAATAACCACCAGTATCACTGGATATTTCCATCAGAAATAATTGAAGAGCAAAAGGTAATTCTGATCTTTTACCAAATTATAATTTTTTTCTGGTATAGCAATAGCTTCACAGTGCTTTACAACCCTCACTAAATGATTTACAGAGTCAGCATCTTGCCTCCAACATACTGGTCCTCATTTACCAACCTCAGAAGGATGGAAGGCTGAGTCAACTTTAAACCGGTCAGGATCAAACTCCTGGGGGTGGTATGCAGAGGTAGCCTGTAATACTGCATTTTAACCACTGCGCCATCACGGCTCTCCCAAAGACAGCTTTGAACAGGAAGGGGTAAATGAATGGGTGTTGGAAGGAATTTTTTGAAAGGATCTTATCTTGCTGTGAGATACTAGTGTTAAAATAGAATAGTTTGGAGTGGCAACTATCTAAGATTAAACTGTCAGGCAGTTCTGACAGTTGGATGAAAGTTTTAACTTTCAGAAGCTTCTAATTGCCCGACTTTCTAAAGGAAGTCTGAAAATCCCATTGACTATGGTAGGGACAAGTTAAATGAATGAGTGAGTTAGTACATACAGTATGCCTTTAAGAAGTTTGTTTATGTTGTGGTTTGTGGCCTCAGGCATTCCAACCTGGTCGCATTGATCATTTCCTGGTTTGTGGCAAGGACTACAAAGCCATACGCGATGCTGTGGAGAAAGCATTGATAACATGCGAGACAGAAGTCATTGCAGCAGCCCTGAAGGTAACCTCTTTCTTTCTGAGCAGCTTAGCTCTTCTTGGTTAGCAGGTTAGCTTGGTTAGCATTTGGTAATAAGCACAAAGTACAAAAGGATTTAAAGGATCCATTCATTTCTATTTCTATTAGCTGTGCTGGCCAAAAAAGAGATTTTTGTTGATACGTTTTTGAAGAGACAAATGGTGCTCTGATATATTTTTTTTCTTCAGTTTTTCTAGAGAGTGTTAAGATACCCGGAATTTTGGAAGGAAGTTTTACTGTAATTGTTTATAATGAAAAACTATTCTTCCATCAGAAAATAGCTCATAGCCTGTTTGAGCCAGTGAGCTCCTTTGGAATTTAATTCTCATGGCAGCCATGGGAAAATGTACTCATCCCCAATCTTTCTCATCCCTCAGATCCTCTCAAGATTACATTATTTTTGTTTTCTGGGTATTTTTTCAGGAGGGGAGGAGTTCCCCCCCCCAAACAAAGCACTATACCTGTGATGGTGAACCTGTGGCACTCATGCCAGAGATGGCACGCAGAGCCCTCTCTTTGGGCACATGTGCCATTGCCAGCTGCTCTTCTGGTTTCTGGCACGCACATGTGTGTTGGCAAGCTGGTCTTCGCAGGTGCCGGGCGCCGGGAAATGGCCTCAAAAAACAGGACGGCTTAGTGGTTAAGACGCTGAGAACTTGTTGATCAGAAAGGTCAGCAGTTCGGCAGTTCAAATCCCTAGTGCTAGGTAACGGAGTGAGCTCCCATTAATTGTCCCAGTTTCTGCCAAACTAACAAGTTCGAAAGCATGTAAAAATGCAAGTAGAAAAATAGGAATCATCTTTGGTGGGAAGGTAACAGCGTTCCATGCACCTCCAAAGTCTAATCAGGCCAGCCACATGACTACGGACAGTGCTGACTCTTCGGCTTTGAAACGGAGATGAGCACCGTCCCCTAGAGTTGGGAATGACTAGCACATATGTGTGAGGGGAACCTTTACCTTTACCTAGATCTGTCTAGGAGGATTTCAACTACTACATATAATTTAACACCTCTTTGGGGTTTGGAGTGTAAGGCTCTGTTGTTATTACTGCAGGTTTTAGTCTGTTTTCTTAATCATTCTGTTACCAGCCACAGATGGAAACTTGACTCCTGATTATTTTACGTTTAATAGTTTGGGTTATTTGTATCCTTCTCTTCAGGTGTATAAGGGCTCCAATTCTGCACTGCCAGTTCATTTTCTTTTGACTGTCTTCAGAGAGCTCACATCACTGTATGGATGCAGTGGCCCAAATGGTCGCCCTAAGCAGAAGGTGAATTAGTTTTTCTTGTGATCTGCAAATAATTAGTTTTTCTTGTGATCTGCATAATGATCTGTGTTATTTTAGATAGAAAGATCCTGCTAATCATAGAAATGACTGGGGCAAACTAAATATAGGTAGTCCTTGACTTACAACAGTTCACTTAGTGACCGTTTGAAGTTACAACGGCACTGAAAAATGTGACTTACGACCATTTTTCACAATTATAACCGTTGCAGCATTCCCACGGTCACGATTTACATTCAGATGGTTGACAACTGACTCACATTTATGACGGTTGCAGGGTCCCGGAGTCATGTGGTCCCCTTTTGCGTCCTTCTGACCAGCAAAGTCAGTGAGAGAACCAGATTCACTGCAGTTCTTAAATTAGAAACATGGTTATTAAAATTAATAACCATGTTTCTAATTTAAGAACTGCAGTGATGCACTTCACAAATCTTCAGAAAAAAGTTGTAAAATGACGCAAAATTCACTTTACAAATTTCTCACTTAGCAACATACATTTTGGGTTCAATTGTGGTCGTAAGTTGAGGACTACTTTTATAGGTTGGTTGTGCATGAAACCAAATGTTCTGTGTTTTCTCCTCGGGACACTCACAACAGCAGTTTTGAGACCAGAACATTTCAGGGTCAAACATTTTGCGCATCCTGAATGGGTTGTGGTTTCTCTCAGCTATTTCCATTTGGAAAATCTGTTGACAAGATTGTACCTATAAACCAGATCTGGGCATTTTAAGGCCCATGGATCACATCTGGCCCGTGGATGGTCCCAATCCATCCCATGATGGTATCGATGACAGGGCTTCTGGCAGTGACAATGCAGTGGTGGCAGGGGGCAGAGAGACCGCCACAACAGACTCAATTTCTCATGTGGTTCCTTGAGAAAATTAATTGCCCTCCCCTGCTGTAAACCAAACAGGATTTCTGTATACCTGTTGCAATTTTCTGTGCTGTTACTTGTGCTTTATGTTAGTGAATTCATACCTTGTCCAGACTCTTGGTATTACTATATTGTAAGTTTCCTAGAGTCACTTAAGCAGGCAGCAAACAATTGCTGATAACAAAATGAAATAATATTAAATGAATGAGTGTGTAAATAAGTAAATAATTAATCATTGTTATGTCGCAGATTAGGTCTTTTGAACTTGTGAGAAAATCTTATTTACTCCCCTCCTCTTTTTTTCAGCAATGTGATATACTTAAAGAATTTATCCAGAACTCCAGGGTTCTTCCATCTGCAAACCTGAAGTCATTTGCTGAATCTCTGGTGTCTAATCAGCTCCCCTTGTTGACCCTGGCTCCTCTGTCTTTCGGCCACAACAGGATGGTGATTGAAATGGCAGTTCATACTGCAGTTGTTTTGCTTTGTGGCCAGAATCGAATCCTTGATCCTCTAAGGAATCTCGCATTCTTGCCTAATACAATGCTGGTAAGGAAGTTCATGCTGGACCTAAGTTTTTTTTTTTAACTTAAAGCCTTATTTTTTTAAAAAAACACAAATGTATCATGCCTCTTTGTTAATTTGAATATTCAAGAAGGTTAACAACTACTATAATATCTAATGCAGATTTTTTAAAAAAAATACAGAAATGAACAATGATCAAATTAATGACCAAGAAATCAAGGTCTAGAGAAAGTAGTTCTAGAGCGGAGAGAGTGGGTATCAAACACTCCCTAGCTTGGGAATCTTCTGTGGCAAGAGCCTCTTTTACATGTTTTAACAACCGGATGGATCCATCATGGGAATGGCTGTCTTTCAAAGAATCACACTGGAGACCATTTAAAGAAGTTGACACAGTGTATCTCAACCTTGGCAACTTTAAGATGGGTGGACTTCAGCTCCCAGAATTCCTCTGGCTGGCTGGAGATTTCTGGGAGTTGAAGTCTGTCCAAGCACCAAGGTTGAGAATGGCAGTTGGACTTACCTGAACTGCATGTTTCGATGAGAAGTGTGGGAGGAGTAACCATTGGGTATTAACCTAATCTTGATTGCCTATTGGAGATTGAGGAA